GTTTTGTCCCCAAACCATAACCAGGCACATGTTTGCTAAAGTAATACTAAGTCAGGAGCGGCGTAAAAAGATAGATCTGCTCTTTCATAAATTTAAGCCAATTTCACAGTGAAAATAGCATTTTTATGATCTTGCTTCCCATTTGTACATCAAACAGAATTTATTTTTTTTGATGAAAACTTTAGTAAATGGAGCTGGATTTTTTTTTAATAAATATAGAATACTGTGATAAGTTTAATAGAGTCGAAACTAGAAAATTGTAAACTAGAATAGAGAAAAGAAAATGCTTACACACTGTGTATCATGGATAAATCGCTCTTCAGAACTAACACTGCGCTTCCGTTGACGTAACACTTCATTTCCTAATCACAACCCCACTCTATCAAACTCTAATGAAGCATCCTCATCCCAGCGACAGATTAATCCCTTCACGCATGAGAATATTCCCACACTGACGACACATCTATAGAGATGTGATCCTTATTACAGCTCAGCATGCTGAAATGAGCAGAAAGTGCTGCTTAATAACTGAAAGATTTTAATTCTGTTAATGACTTCAATTCATCTAAATATCACAATATACATAATGAATTTGAGAGTTAGGCATAATTCAAACAGGAGTTGGAATCTGAACTGCATTGAGCAATGCATTCATAAATTGAGGTATTTTGTTAACAGGAATAACTTTTCTGAGATTTTTTTTTTTTTTACATACAAAAGCTCCAACAACAAAAGTAAAAAGAGAGATAGAAAAGAAAGAATCTGGGATTGTCTAAAGCTTTCAATCATTCAGCTCCAGCTTCCATTTCCTCGCACGGTTTTTGTTTCTCATTCCTCTCCATCTGCACTCGTTTTTTTTCCTGACACTCCAGAAGTTTTTCTCCAACGCTTTCACAGCTCCAGATGCTGATGGATGAATTTGCTTTCCCTTTACCCCCTCATGTCCAGTGTTGGGGAGTAACTAGTTATATGTAATGGAGTTACGTAATTTACAGTAATTACAAAATAAATGTGAGAAAAAAAGACTGAGAAAAAATGAAAATGTTAACGATTACAAAGGGGGTTACATTTGAATATATTCACACACACACACACACACACACACACACACACACACAGAGATTTGATTTATTTCTTTCCATTGTTAGATGCCAGTGTTTCCTGTCATAGCTATGCAAAGATTAGATTTCAAAAACAGTATCATAGCTATTAAACTATTTCTTGTTATGAAGATAAATCTGTATTTAACCTCAGAACGATCACAAAGTAAAAAGATGTGCTAAAGTCTGATTTTGTGGTGGCTGTGCTTTAAAATTAAATGAAGGATTCTGAAAGTCTGACAGTAATCAGTGTTGAGCTCTACTGTAAGGTTAACCCTGCTGCTTTACATGTTTCAAAATGATTAACAGTTGAAAACATTAGAAATTTAAAAAAGTAATCAAAAAGTAATCAAATGTAATCTGTTACATTGCATTAATAAAGTAATTGAAATAGTTACACTACTTATTACATCTTAGATAGGGTAACTTGTCATCTGTAACCTATTATATTTCCAAAGTAACCTTCCCAACACTGCTCATGTCATACCAAAACCTTTAATTATGTATGGTGATTTCTGAAGAATACAACCAAAATCAACCATCACTGAGCAAATGACTAAAAGCATAAAGTTACAAAAACAAGCAAACAATCGTTTTAAAATGTGTCAGTATATGTATATTTTACTTAAATTGTCTCATAATATCTAATTTAGTACATATAAGAAACAAACAACAATATTCTGTTTTTCAATAATTCATTGTTTTTTTTTTTGCATGGCCCTCTTCGCCACAAGATGGAGCTATTAATCAGATTTTTATGCTAAACCAGTAATACTAATTTCATACTCAAATATTAGAAGTCTAAAACAAACCTTTTAAGCCATAAAAGAGTTTCATCTGCTGTAATTATATACTTTTATTTTATATGAATTACAAAATCTGAAATGTAGGTTGTTTAGATGCATTTTGCTATATGATTACATGATTTAATTTATGATGGGGTAAGTCGTGGCCTAATGGTTAGAGAGTCGGTCTCGTAACCTTGGGTTACGGGTTCGAGTCTCGTACCGGCAGGGATTGTAGGTGGGGGGAGTGAATGTACAGCGCTCTCTCCCACCTTCAATACCACGACTGAGGTGCCCTTGAGCAAGGCACCGAACCCCCAACTGCTCCCCGGGCGCCGCAACAAAAAAATGGCTGCCCACTGCTCCAGGGGTGTGTTTACGGTGTGTGTATGTTCACTGCTGTGTGTGTGCACTTTGGATGGGTTAAATGCAGAGCACTAATTCTGAGTATGGGTCACCATACTTGGCCACATGTTACTTTCACTTTCACTGTAAGTGACTGTTAAGTAACGGGATTTTAAAATTAAAAGCTGATTGAATGTTACATGCTGTTGTAAATAAACATAAGCACACCAGGGAGCGCACATTCATTTAATTGTTTTTATTATAGAAATACATGTACTTATTTAATCGGTTCAGCTGGTCATTCTGATTAAATGTTGTTACTGTTGTTGTTTCAGGTGACAGAGTGAAGTTACATCAGGAAAGCGTCATGAGCACAGAAAAAGAGCGCAGCGTCCTGAATGATGCTGGCGAGGAGAAGGAGCTGGAGGAGCTGAGGGCTCAGGTGCTGCAGCTCCTGCTTGAGCTGGAAGAAGCTCGAGACACGGCTCAGAAACACGAGGAGAGCTTTCTGGAGCTGCAGGGTGAGACTCCCTCACAAACACAGCACTTTCACACCAGCGACCTGACACTTACAGAGCTCATGTCATGCTTGCTTATTTAGATTTTTCCCTGCAGGGCCACCTAGAATTTTTTTTAGGTAACACTTAATTTTACGGTGTCCTTGTTACACATGTTACATGTACTTACTATTGTAATAACAATAAATTATGCATAATTACATGCAAGTAACCACAGGCCAAACCTAAATCCTAACCATATAGTAAATACTTTACTATAGGTTACGTTTCACGTTTCAGGTTACGTTATACGTTTCACGTTTTTTTTTTTGTGTTAACATGACGCCCTCTATATGATCATATGAAACGGGTACGTTTTTGTGTCACAAGCCAAAAAGTTGCAGATTTGTGCCTTTTTAAACGTTTTGAGTTAAATGCTTGTATAACACATTTAATGATTAAATGTCAAACCAGTAACTTTACAAACCAGTAAGAATACATGCATATTTAGTTCATGATATACATTGTATACATTATATTATATGATCTGAAACCATTCTAAGATGGCAGTGCTGTTAAAATAGCTGAATCTGAGTATTGATGTCTATGTTTAATTGCACTGAAATTTGCATTAGATAATAGTGACTGCTAAATGACTAACACTTATAGGAACCCTGTTGCACGGTGTCATAAAAAAAGATGTTACAGAACGTTATTTGTCAGAGATATAGCTGAATGTGGTGTGTCCTCGTGTTTAGCTCGTTTTACTCAATGACAGGCCCAGTAAAATAGTTTCTATATATAGCATTTATAACGAGTCACCTGCTGTATCGGACAGACTCCTGGGACTCTGTAATGATCTGGCTGTGCTGTGACTGTGGGCTGTGTGTGTGTAACATGACAGGCATGTGAGAGGACAGCTGCGCTGAGGGAAGCTTCCAGACAGGCTGTCCTGGGCAGCAGATGCCTTTATCCAAACTGGATCATCTCCAGTGAGGCGCTCGGCTATTCCCGCTCACTTCTGATCGCAGACAGAGCATTAGATCAGTCTCACCCGCTTTTCATACTAAAGAGCTTTCAAGTATTTTGAGTTGTGCACGACGTGACTGAATTATCAGGTCTGAAACAGAAGATACAGTATAAACTCCCAGAAATTAGACACCCATCTGAAACAGTGCTCGAAATGTGGGTGAAGTTTATAAAATCAGCCTGTGAAATCCAAAGAGGAGTTTTGGGTTGCTAAAGTATTTTTTTTTTTCACTTGCATGTACGTAAATGTCATTCATCTGGAGCCCATCCCAGCTTCTTGGGTTGCAGACGGGATATAAATGTTATGGAGACTAAGTTGTGTCATCGCTCTCTCTTTAGGTTTTTTGTTCTGTACAGCATGTAGTATATATATTTTTTCTTTTTTTAAATGGAAGATATTTTGGTAACACTTTACAAAAATGTTCCACTTGTTAAAGCTGCAGTCCGTAAGTTTTGCCTCTTTGTCGCCATCTCTGTTTGAAAACCTGGAATTGCAGCTGTGTGAGGGATTATCTAGCTTGCATGGGTTGTGAGTGGCTCCAGCAGATGAATCTAATGTTCTGAAGAGTATGTGTGGCAAAACATTATTATAAGCTGACCGATGTGAATCAGGCTACAGTAAGGTGATAGTTTTGAACACTGGCTGGTTATGTACTTGCTCAAATATTGATTTTGGATAATTTTTAACCAAAAAAAGTTACGGACTGCAGCTTTAACTATGTTTAATATTTGATGCATTAACTAACAATGACAGTATTTACTATCTTTGTTAACGTTAGTTAATAAAAGTACAACTGTTCATTGTTATTCCATGTTAGCTCAGGTCCATTAAAAAACATTAGAAGTATTGTTCATTGTTAGTTTATTTTAACTAATGTTAAAAAAATGGAAATTTATTGTAAAGTGTTACAGATTTTTCTTAATATAGGATATGTGGATTTCGGTTTTGCACACAGTATAGATAAATTAGGACTGCCTAAGATAACATGAATAATTCATTAAGAATAAGTAATGAATTGAATGTAAGCTTTTTGACATTCACCGAATTTGACAGAATCTTTTTTTCTGTGGTGTGTGTGTGTGTGTGTGTGTTTTTTTTTAACTTTGTTACATATAATTGTGTCTCTTTAGGGTGAAACTGTGCCTTCAGACTGGATGCATTACATTGCATTGAATAAAATAAATAAATAAAAGGCTAAGAAGTGAATTCAAATTTGAGATTAATTGCATTAACCAAAAAAACA